AGCCGTAGTTTTCAAAACCTCCTCTCTTTTATATATATATATATGTCTATTAAATTATTATGGATTGTATAGATATATCTATAATATTATTATTTTGTTATTTATTACGTCTTTTAATTGGGTCCTGTCTTCGTATTAGTGTCTCGTTGGGCGCCATTTGTTGTGTCCGGTCTTCGGTGGGCGAAGTAACACTGCAGTGAACGTGGAGCGGTGACATGGTGGCCAGCCCGGTATGCTCGCCGGTTTTGGGGGTGATTCTTCTCACGCTCAGGAACAATCGCGGATATCAACAAAAATTCATGTCACCTGTTTGCTGTGGAAGAAAACCATTTTTGTGAGGAACCTACATCTAACACAATCACAATATAGCCATTGCCTGATTGAGTTCGCTATATTGCAGCAACTTGAAACGTCCTCGTCTGTTTTGTCTGTAACATCTTTCACGCTACATTCACTCGATCACTCTTCAACTTATATGCATTCTATTTTTCCCTAGCACTTCCACCACCGCCAAATAACTAAACCCTAATCCTGCATATTATTTGAGTTTTCCATCAAAAAAAATTTTTTTCTTTTTTTTTTTTTTTATAATTTTTATTTCCTTTTTTTTTCTTTTTATTTTTTTTTTTTTTTTTATTCAACAAAAGTCATGACCATAATGATCTTAGTAATCTTAAACCTAACTAAAACTAACGTCACCCACGCTGCTGTTGACCTAGCTGAAACTTATGAATAATAAAAAAAATATATGTATATGTATTTTTATATATTTAGGACTCTTTAATATAAAAAAATTAAAAAATTTTTTTTTTTCTTTTCTCTCTTTTTTTTCGTTACTCTTATTTTTTTTTTCTTTCGTATATATATCGTATGCAATTTTTAAGACAATATTTAGTAATTAATATATTTCAGCTTTCAGGGCAATCTTTTTAACATCCAAATTTAATTCCTGATTTTAATTTTCTTTTTTTTTTTATATACATATACCATATGCAATTCTTAAGATAATATTTAGTAATTAATACAATTCAACTTTCAGGGTAATCTTTTTAACATCCAAATTTAATTCCTAATTTTAATTTTCTTTTTTTTTTTATATACATATACCATATGCAATTCTTAAGATAATATTTAGTAATTAATACAATTCAACTTTCAGGGTAATCTTTTTAACATCCAAATTTAATTCCTAATTTTAATTTTCCTTTTTTTTTTTTATATACATATACCATATGCAATTCTTAAGATAATATTTAGTAATTAATACAATTCAACTTTCAGGGTAATTTTTTTAACATCCAAATTTAATTCCTAATTTTAATTAATTCATCACAATTATATGTTAGTGAAAAATAAAAATATGCAATGGAATATATCTAATAAAAAAAAATATATAAAAAAATAAAAAAAAATATATAAATGCAGACACGTGTGTTTCAGTATAAGATAGATTTTTTTCTAGTGCAGGAATACCTGTACACCGTTGTGCCTTAACGGTGTGTATTGATCCCGTTGAATCCTTCCAACAAAAGTGAATTTTGTTACCGGTCCAATATCCTTATGGTCATGTCTTCTAGTTTAACTATTTAGCACTTCACTAACCGCTATATCCCCAATATAGGTATTAATATTTCGCCACAAAACAGCTTTATCAATTTATTTCGGCTTCTTTGGGTGTTTTCATTTAGAAGAACCCCAAATTTTTATTTATTGTGTTATAATTGTTGATCACTAATGAGTTTTATGTATCATTTCAAAATTTACAATCATTCTTCTGTTGTACTTGTTTTAAATTTTCAATTGTGAACATCCAAGGAATGTTAATTCAATTACAAATCAATAATGATTTTATGATACACGGTGTGTAAATACATAAAAGTTTCAAAATTTACTTCTATAATTTCTTAATAGAATGTTTTTTCTCTGACTCCTTCTTCATAACTTTAGCGATAGCCATTTCGAAATCTTCGTGAGTAACATGCACGATGCTCACGCAATGCGTACATACCAGCTTCTATACAAATGCCTTTAACTTTTGCACTACAAGCTCCCGGTATAAGTTAAGCTATTTTACACAAATTAATGCGGCCAGTCAAGTTAATTTTACGCAAATGATTTTTGAGAATATCTAAACCAGTTTCATTTGGTGAGGGAATTGCAATTTTTTTTATGATCGAATTATCCTTTTTCGCAACAGCTCTAAATATATCGGAAGAATATCCACTTTTGCATAAGAGCCCGCGCTAAATAGTTAAATTGATAATTTATGTTACTTACTGAAATTATTTTATAATTACCTTTGGATGTTCTTCTTAGAATTTCGTAATCAATATGTTGCGACGATTATTTAATTCAATTAATTTGGAAAATTGCATAAATAAATGCTTTATCAATTTACACTTCTCCACTTTTGCAAAATATGTAAACAAAATCCTGAAATCAAAACATATTCACAGCTGAAATAAGCATAGCAATTCTAAATACTTCCAGGGAACAAAACTCCCAATTCACACAGCAGTTTTGGGAACAACAACAGTTTCAAATTTTTGTTGAATTTTGGCAACCATGGCACTTTTTAATGACGAAAAATGCAAAAATGAGCAAGACAAAGAAAAGAATTGCGTGTCATATGTTGATTTAAATGTAAAAATCGCAATATTTGTCTGGTGCACAAATTATCAAAAATAAATATACAGGCCTATTCTGAATACTCCCAGGGAACAAAACTCCCTATTCCCACGCTGTTCCCAAACACACAACTCCCTTATTCTGAATTGCTTGGGAGACAGCAGTTTTGGGAACAACAACAGTTTCAAATTTGTTTTGTTAAATTTTGGCAACCATACTACTTTTTAATGACGAAAAGTGCGAAAATGAGCAAAACAAAGAAAAGAATTGCGTATCATATGTTGATTTAAATGTAAAAATCGCATTTTTTGTTTGCTGCACAAATTATCGGAAATAAATATAATTTATTTTATGAGTAAATAATAAATAATAAAAAACTTTTATTTTAATGAGTAAAATAAATATATAAAAAGAATTGTGCATGAGCAAAATAAACGAGGATTGTGCAGTTGTTAATGATTATTTAAAAAAATATTTTAAAAAAGTTTTCAAAAATGCATCCAATTGCATTTCGAGTTTTAGCGGAGGATTTGGCTCAAGAACAGGAGCAAGAAATTTTGCAACAGAGGATCAATCGCAAAAACTTACATGTTAAATTGAATTTTTTTCTAAATTTTTAACTCTTTTTTTAATTAATTAATAAACAACCTTACGTTATGATATCAATTCTTCAATGTCTTTATTTTCAAACATTCACTTCTTTTATACAAAATTGGCGTAAATTATAATTTACTTTTTTTATATAATTAGGATAGAAATGTCCTTCATGCTTCAATTAATGAACTAATAATAGTTTATGATTGTGCAGATGTTACAATAAAAAAGAAGCAATGTTTTACCTGCATATAATTGCAAAAGTTTATTTTAACTTATTCTAGGAATCCAATTAATTTCAGAATTTGGTTTCCTTTCATTTTTCTATTGTTTTAAAAACAATAGTTAACACTTTAATTAGTGGAAAAAACCCGTGTGAATAAAATAAATAAACAAAAATTTAAATATTTCAAATTTGTTATCCTTTTATTAAAATAATAATTTTAATAAAATGTATGAAATGAAAATTTTGTTATATTAAATTTATTAAAATAATTTTATTAATATATATGCGGAAAACTAATCAACTCTTGTGGATAAAATAAAAAAATAAAACTTTGAAAATATTAAATTTATTGTAATAATTTTATTATAATAATAATTTTATTAAAATATATTCAAATATCTGATCATTTTCAGTTACTTTTATATTAAATTAAACCATTTTTAATATTTTTTAACTTCTCTCCCCAAAAATTTGTTTGGGAAAGAATTTGTGCAAAATTGGGAAAAACCTCCCATTCCCATGCGATTCAGAATAGCAAAATTGGGAACAGGAAACAAACTCCTATTCCCATGCGATTCAATAAAAGGAAGCAATGTTTCACCTGCGCACAATTGCAAAAGTTTATATTAACTTATTTTATGAATCACATTCATTTCAGAATTTGAGTTTCTTTCATTATCTATTGTTTTAAATAACAATAGTTAATGCTTTAATTTGTGGAAAAAAACTCTAGGGGATAAAATAAATAAATAAAAATTTAAATATATTAAATTTATTATAATACTTTAATAAAAATAATAATTTTAATAAAATATATTAAATAAAAATATAGTTACATTTAATTTATAATAATTTTATTAAAACAAATTCGAAAAACTAATCAATCCGTGTGGATAAAATAAATAAATAAAACTTTGAAAATATTAAATTTATTATAAAAATAATTTTATTAAAATATATTCAAAAATCTGATCATTTTCAATTACTTTCATATTAAATTGAACTATTTTTAATACTTTTTTAACTTGTCTTCCCAACTTGCTTGGGAAAGAATTTGTGCAAAATTTGGAAAAAAAACTCCCATTCCCAAGAAATTCAGAATAGCAAAATTGGGAACAGGGAACAAAACTCCCATTCCCAAAAACTCCAAATTGCAAATTTGGGAGTAGGGAATAAACCACCATTCCCATGCGATTCAGAATAGGCCTGAAGCTGTCAAAATGTAACTCGCACCCTTTTTTGGGCTAAGTGGCTAAATGTGTGCAGTACAAAAAATCCCATTTGGTTTAGCATCAACTTAGCCTAACTCGCACACGTCCATAAAAGTGAAATATTTACAATATTCGAACATTTTATAGGTAACAACATATACATGAGACAAGAAACAAAAATCAATATACCACGGCCATCTTTCATATCAATTAATATCTGAACTAGTTTTTCCTAAAGACAATTTTTTTTATTGGTATTATTTTATAATTTGAAGTCATTAATTTTCAGAAATCATTCATTCAATGTTATAGGCAAACGAATAAATACATATAAATGAAAATTACTTGCATTTAGTAAATTTATTTGTAAAATTCGTGTTCTTGTTCATCCTTTTTAATATTATTTTTATAGCCTTTTTCAAAATCTTTCGTAAGCACAATATACCGATTTTCACGTACTGCATGCATACCCGCTTCCTGACATATGGCATTGATATCAGCACCTGAAATTTTATCAGGACGAGCAACAAATTCTTCTAGGTCAACGTCTTCACTCAAATTCATTTTAGAAGTAATAGTTGAAAATATTAAACGTTTTTGCCGTCTGTCTGGTAAGGGAAATTCAATTTTTCTATCAAGCCTACCAGGACGTAGTAGCGCTGGATCTAAAGTATCTGCACGATTTGTTGCCATGATTACTTTTACATTTGTAGTTTGATCAAAACCATCCATTTGATTAAGCAATTCCAATAGTATACGCTGTACTTCTCGGTCAGCTCCCGTCTGAGCATCAAAACGTTTTGTAGCAATTGCATCTATCTCATCAATAAAAATTATTGCAGGAGCATTTTCCTTTGCTAAACGAAAAACATCACGCACCATACGGGGACCCTCTCCTAAATATTTTTGAACAAATTCGGAGCCAACAACTCGAATAAATGATGCTGTTGTATGATGTGCAACTGCCTTCGCTAACATAGTTTTACCACAACCCGGGGGCCCGTACATAAGTACACCTCTTGGTGGGTCAATACCTTGGAAAAAATATTTACAATTATTTTTAAAAGCTTTAATTTCAATATATACCAATCTGTTTGTAAAGCTCAAAGTGTGTGAGCGGAAGTTCTACAGCTTCACGTATTTCCTGCTTTTGCATATCCATCCCACCAATATCAGCATAATTAACATCTGGCTTCTCATCAGGTTGTAACATAGAAATTGAACTATCTGCTTCAGGTGGAAGCACATCAACTAAAGCATTGCTGTGCTTATGCAATGCAACTGATGCTGAAGGTTTTAGTAATTCTCGATCAATAGTTGACAGAATGCGAACGTAATAATTAGACCCAGTAGTCGAACCTACTATGCCTGTATTTTGATCAACCGCTTCCAAAAACTGTCCAATAACCAATGGTACAGATTGAATCCGTTTAACCTCCTCTTGAGCGTGGAGATATTCCTTCTTAAGATTTCTTTGCTCATCCTTAATATACTCTTCTTGTACTTCCAAAAATTCTAAAGTTTTTTGCAATTTCTAATAGTAAAAATTTATCAAGTTTTAGTTTTTGAGTTTAAAAGGCATTTAGAAATTCGATATCTTATTACACAAAAATTTTTAATTGAAGTCCCTCATAAATGGTTAAAATACTTGTTAATATATGAAATAAAACATTTACTTCTATACCTTGTAGCGTACGTAAAGATCATCAACATCCAGCTCATCAAGGGAACTGTGGGCGTCTTTCAACTTGAATTCAAAAGATTCATCCTAAAATAAACTTGTTAAAAACACTTGCTTTTTAGTTACTTATTAATTACTTTATCTGGTACAATAATGTCCATGATTACTAAATAGCTTATTTCAAATATAAATACCACGTCTATTACAATGACTTTCTAAAATTTTGTCAATACAAAACTAATGACAAGCAAGTAAATGCATATTTATCGATAATAAATGGAAACTTATTATCGAAAAAGTTACCGCGTGTAATAATAATAATAACTTTAAAAAGAACTTAGTAAATACTCTGCGTTTATACAGAAAAAATTATCTGGATTCGTGCCTAGCATATACACAATCCGATAAACTAATAAGGATCTGATTTTATATTCTTGATACATGTTTTGAAACATTAACATCAAAATAGCATACTGTATGGACCATAATACAATCTATTACTGTTATTATAAACATGATATGTACATGTACGAAATTTTATATATATCATGTTTGCTCTAAAAATCATTATTTATATCTGATGTTTTATTTTATTCACATATACTCAAAAATCAGAATAAATGCCTTAAAGTGAGATAGTTTAAAAAAATTGTAGTGCATAACTTGCATGCAAATGATATTCAAATAAATAAAAATGATCAGTTTTTGCGCACTGTTGAATACGATATAATAATATAATTATCAAAATTTTCTTTGTGTTGATATGCACTGAATAGACTTTTGTCTGCATACTATGATAAAATCATTTGTATTAAATACTAAAAACAACTGTACTTTATTTTTTCCCATATGTATGTTTATACGGCCCACTTTTCAGTTGTTACTATATCATGGCAACACTTTAATTGAAAACTAATATGTTAATATCAAAATTAATATACAAACTAGTGTACTTTTGATTTAAATATATTTATACAGTTTGTCAACTTTGTGTTTGCAAAACGAAAAAATGTTGCAAATGTTTATTAAATGCCCAATAAAAACGATTTAATTTTGAAATAAAAAAAAAAAATTAAAAAGTTTTCAAATAAATTAAACATTTTCCTTCATATTAAGCTAAAAATTATTCAAATGTATCATTGGAACATTAAAATAATTCACAAAAATAAAAATAACACCAAATTTGTTGTGTCAACATAGTGTTTGCAATTTTGCAATTTCTTATTTTTAACGGGACAGAGTACCGTTAGATGTGTCTGGGTTTTTTTTTGTTTGTTACGATAATCTACAAAAACTGTTCAGTTTCTTTGTTACTTAATAAAGTAGAGTGTTTTAAGTGAAGGAATAATTAGAACGCACGTAATTAAATATGCCAGATAAAAGAACAAATTCAAATATTATTGAGTTAGTGTGTCATAATTACTACTTCGGTAAATCTGCTAAGAAATAAAGTCTAATGTTTAATATAAACAGAGCAGAAAATGAGGATTGTATTAGTTTAAAACCAGCAGGCCACCGTATTAAACCATTGTCTGATCGCCATATAAGAAGAGTATTGCAAATAATGATAAAAATCCTTAAATTTTCTTACGATCATTGACATTAGGTCTGGAGAAGCTATTTAATATTGTTGTTAGTCACAAGGCAATAAGAAAAGTTCTATTACAAAATATTTATTCTTCAAAAGTTGCACGTAATACACCGTTGTTACCTGTTCAAAAAATTGAAAAACGATTTCAGTTTGCTAGCACACGTTTATGATATGATTCAGAGTACTAAGATGATGTGATTTTCTGGGACGAAGTGAAAATCAAGCTTTATTATAATGCAGGACCCAAACAAACATGATAATAAAGCATAATATCCCAGAAAAACAGAACGAAATTGTTTTAATTTTCTTTGACATTGATGAAAACCTTAAAATGATGCAAAGGTAAAGTTAATAAAATAACTTCCAATGCTACTCTTAACCATTATATTATATTGAGCTTGGCAATGAAATTTGTACATCAAGCTTTGCTACAGATGACGATAATATTGAGCATTATTGCTTTGTATATATCTCATTATAGTGGATCTGATTTTAAGCTCAACGAAAAGTGATGATGAGGGTTCAGTAAATGAAATTGTTCATCAGCTTTCCACCAGCACTACTCCCCCCTTTAAGAGAAAATTAATCTACCTGACAAGTCTATAAACTGCGTCAATCTGCGGGATGACAGCTCTATCAGGTCCGTAAGAAAAGCAGCCCGAAGATTTTAAATCTTCTAGCCAAAGAAGGAAACAGACAAATGAAGTTGTTTACGATAATTGCTTATCCGCGGAGTCAGAACAAGGAGTGACTATATGCTAGTCCCAGTCTCATAGCATGTGTTCCTAATATGAAGTGACCTGCCTGCATCGATATCGTAATGATGAGCAAGTTACGCCTTTGTTGAAGTAGCGGACTGGTACGTTGCTTGCCCAGTTTGGACCAGGTCAATCTTGAGATCCGACAAAAGAATTCATGTGACCAATTTTGTTAATTTATGCTCAAACATTTTAGCTTGATTTTTGTGATTTATGGCATTCACAATTTGTTAAATATTTGGCAGTAGCACCTTCAGTAAGAACGAGTGTGCTATATCAATTTCGGACCAACGGCAGACAGCATTGAATCTAGGTGTTACTAATTTGGCTTGTTGTTTTATCACATGTTTTATCCACCCTACGAAAGAGCCCTTGTAGAGTGGAACGTAAAACGCCAGAGACTTGATGGCAACAATCTTTCTTATTTTATCGAACAGTTTAATGTAGCTTGCTTTTCCTGTTATTCGCCACCAATACTCATATAATATATGTATAACGGATCACTTTATTTTATTTTGATTTATATTCTACAGCGTTCATAATAACAGCGGAGCAAGTACAGAGTACACCTCAAGAAATTGAGGTGTTATTTATTTTATTATTATTTCTTAGAATTAAACACGATTTCTTAAAAATTGTTTTTTTTGATTAAGTTTACTATACTACAGTGTAATTAGTTAATAGTGAGCATTTATGGAAAGTGAAGCCATTGCGCTTGTGGTAATAACAACATTTTTTTTGAAGAGCGAAAAACAAAAGAAAAAAAATAGGATGTGGGCAAAGACATGGCTGCAAAAGGGAAAAAAATTTTCTCATGTGAAGCTTTTGAAGGAAATAGAAACTTTTTGTGTTGGAGTTTTAAAAAATTTTTTAATAATAGATATTAATAATTATATTGAACTGTTTTCTATGGTGCAACCTTTCATTATAAGACAAGAGAGACTATCCAAACAAGAGAGACTATTAGAGACTTTCCAGACCTTCCGATTTTTGACTTCGTGGGAACTCTTTAGGACTTGAAATTCCTGACTGTGATATCTCCATATAGTTTAAGTAACGTAGTTATTGAAACCTGAGATGAACGACATTGAAAGATAAATCAATTATAAACAGAAACATTTATTGTCTTAAGTAATCAATTTTTATTAAAATATACAAGCAAACAAATTTCAAAATATAATTAAAATATTTGCTGCCTTAAGCAAAATCTGTGTTAGAAAACAGTTTATGAAAGGAGTTGTAACCATTTTCCACCGAATTCTAGCGTATATTAATTGGCTGCGGTGTTCTCACAGTTTCTTGATAAACATTTTGTTGCTGTTGACCACACGGTTCTGATGACTCATTGATGGACTACTTGAAAAAAAATAGGCCTCTATTGAACTGATTGCCGGACTCGAAGTGTAGCTTGAGTATGGCGAAGTTGGCCTTGTCTCTGTACAAGTGGAACTCTGTATGGTGTTGCAGCATAGCTATATGTCAATAGTACTGTTGTTATCTGTGGAGAAATTCCATTATGTGTTACAGAATGTCCATATATGTCAGCATCGTCTTTTATAGCATTCTGACGTTGTACTTCGAGACACTATAGATGCTGTGCGATTTATTTTCCTTTTACGGGGCGGTTCATAAGAAGTCTGAAATGTAATTAACAGTTTAATATAAAAATAAAGAAACGAGTTTTTTGCACATCCGACACTTACCAAAATCGTTATATAAAGAGAAGTCTGTAGATTTCGTTATACACAAGCAGACATGTGTGCAGACGTGACAAATAGTTGAAAAGTTTTACACCTCTATTCTGAATCATTAACCGCTAGCACATGTCTTAAGCAATAAATATTGTAATTACTTACTTATTTGGCCATAACAATCCGTTACCGATTTTCAGCCAGACGCAGCATGTCTCCCCAGGCGCCTCTTCTGCTTGCGCGCCTTCTCCAGTCTCGTATATCAAGTCCAGTTAGTGCTCCCTCAACTTGATCACTCCACCGAAGACACGGCCTACCTCTACGTCTTCTTCCGCCAACTACTGCTTCAAACACCTTTTTAGCCGGAGCAACTTCATCCATTCTCACGACATGACCAAGCCAGCGAAGCCGCTGGATGTTAATGCGCTGAATTATATCAATGTCGTGATAAAACTCGAATAGCTCGTGGTTCATTCTAATGCGGTAGTCATCGTCAACTCGTAGTGGACCAAAGATCTTACGAAAAGCTTTTCTCTCGAACACTACCAGTGCTGTTTCATTATTCTGTGATAACGTCCATGCTTCTGCGCCATACAGAAGCACAGGGAGAATGAGCGACCTATAGAGCGTAAGCCTCGTTTGTCGAGAGAGAGCTCTACATCCCAGATTCGAGAGTATAGTCGCCAGCCACTAGCCCGGTGTCCGAGAGACGCACAGATCTACCACCAGCCGACATATACTTCGTTTTATTTCATTCGTCGCTAAACCCATTCTTGCAGATTCCTTTTCGATAGCAGCAAAAGCAGCTGTAACATCACGCTTGCTACGCCCAATGATGTCAATGTCGTCGGCGTAAGCAAGGAGCTCGACAACTTTGTAGAATATTGTTCCATTACAATGAACACCTGCCCTTCGCATGATCACTTCCATGACGAAATTGAAGAGGTCACATGATAAGGGATCACCTTGTCTGAAGTCTCGCAAGGTATCAAAAGGTTCAGAGAGACTTGATCCTACCTTGACGGAGCTACGGGTATTGCTCAGCGTCATTCTGCAAAGTCGAATTAATTTTGCAGGGATACCGAGCTCAGACATTGTGGCGTAAACGCGATCCCTAATGGAGCTATCGAAAGCTACTTTATAATCGACAAAAAGGTGATGAGTGTCGATGTTATGTTCGTGGGCTTTTGCCAGGATTTGTCGCAGTGTGAATAT